TGGGTATTGTAAGCAGTAGAGTAGTCTTAGTGCTACGATCTGCTGAGATTAAGCCCTTGTTCTCTAGATTTGTTTTTCATGTGCGAATTGGCAAGGTGGTTCTTTAGAAGTATTCTATAGTGTTTCTTTGTTATTCTGTAAACTTGATATGAATTGTGGCAAGGTGGTTCTTAATAAACGTCGCATTTGGTTATTTGAACCTAAACCTGATATGAATCGTCAAGGGGTAAAAAGTGTAAAAAGTGTATGCTTCTATAAAGCTGATATGAATTGGCAAGGTGGTTCTTTATAAGCGTCGGGTAAAAAGTGTATGCTTCTATAAACCTGATATGAATTGACAAGGTGGTTCTTAATAAACGCGCCTAAGCTTTGATGAAGTACGCTTCTATGACCAACCTAAACCTGATATGAATTGGCAAGGTGGTTCTTTGTAAGTGTCAAAGTGTATGCTTCTATAAACCTGACAAGGTGGTCCTTAATAAACGCCTAAAGCTTTGATAAAGTACGCTTCTATAACCAACTCATATATCCTGGCATTTGGTTATTTGAACCTAAACCTGATATGAATTGGCAAGGTGGTTCTTTATAATCTGATATGAATTGGCAAGGCGGTTCTTCGCCTAAGCTTTGATAAAGTACACTTCTATAACCAACTAATATGACCCTGGCATTTAGTTATTTGAATCGAAACTTGATAGTGATATGAATTGGCGTGGTAATTTTTTATAAATGCTTCTACATATAATTATCTTATTTGGTTACTTGAACCTAAAGTAGGTTCACCTAAATCTGACATGAATTCGATATAGGTTTATTTGAACCTAAATTAGGCTTAATGAATACGATCGTTTTACTTTTTTCATTAATTTCATTTTGTTTATTTCATCTGTTTTCTTAGAAATTACTGTATTAATATAGCTATCCGTTATCCGAACTATATACAGTCGATACTGTCTAATTGCATATACTTTCTAAGTGCATAAAAATTGTCTTTTAATTATTAACGCCAAAATGTTTCTTA